TAGGTTGCTTCCATTTTCTGGTTATTACAGATACTGCTGCTATGAACATACTTGAACAGATGTCCTTGTGGAATGATTGTGCATCCTTTGGGTATATGCTTAAGAGTGAAATTCCTGGGTCTTGAGGTAGACTGATTCCCATTTTCTTGAGAAACTACCATACTGATTTAAATGACTTGGTATACTACAGTAAAAGCATCTGCTGTTATGATATTTCTTAAAATTTCTGAAATTATTTCTCATTACAAAGCAGCATCATAAGAATGAGATCCAATATTAGCTGTATTTCTAAACCATTCATCTATCAGTGTGGATCATGCCTTTACAGGCCTACTCATCCTATTATATTTTGAATTTTCATTTTCAAAAGCCAAAGATCCAATCAATATTTGTCTGACTTCTGGATCTGATAGTATTCTATTTACAAATGAAGTTAATCTTTGAAAAAAAAACAAAAACAATGAATGCTTATTTTGGACATTGTGTAATTTTAATAAATGACTAAGACTTCCTTCAAGATTCTTCAACCTTATCCAAAACATTTAAGGCTGCTAAGTGAAATAGGGCCAAGGTGTGGTCATCTAATTCACATTGTCATTGCTACTCAGCATATTGGCCTCCATAGAGATGCTGATTTAGGGAAATATCCATACCTCTAGACATTTTTCATGTTCTATGGCCCTAGCTTTTGCAAATGCATACCATATGAAATGACCACTTCCTTAAATCTCCTCAAATATACTATTTCTAAATGATTCCATTTAAACTCTTCATAACCTCAAGGGTGAATATCGTCTCCTGGTAGCTCTTGTATAATAACAGGGTAAATTAAGGTCTTTTTTCTAATAACCTTGGGCCATCCCTCTTCAGTTTCACCATGAGGAAGTATGTTAATTTCTTTTCTAAATTCCTCTGTCTATGTCTGATGATTTTTCTTATCTTCATTAACAAGTCTTTCTAGGTCTTATGTCTTGCCAGTCAAATTTTTCTTATTTTCATTAGTAAGTCTTTATAAAGCTTCTATCTTATTAGTAGTATGTCTATCTGAAGATTTCATCTTATCAATAGTAGGCCTTTCTAAGACTTTTAACATATCTCTCAATTTTTACATTTGGCACAGATAGAAAGATACAGATAATAGAAAGATAGATAGATAGATAGATAGATAGATAGATAGATAGATAGATGGATAGATAGATAGATAGATAGATAGACAGATACATAGATACATAGATAGATACATAGATACATAGATACATAGATACATAGATAGATGGTGGAAAAATAGAGAAATAAAACACCTAAATGTACATTAAGATGAACATTGTGAGATATATACTTAATTTTTTCACAAAAACTTGCCTAATGTCCATGGGAGATACAGTGTCATACATCAGGTAGGATTTAGGAGGCTTAAGTTCTAGCTCAATATCTTCTCTTTTAGCTTGGTGAAGCATTGTAACAATATCAAATATCCCAACCAACCCTAAGACGTCCTAGAATTTGCTTTACCACAGGGTACCCAGCCATTAACAGAGTTGCTGCCCTACTCTGTATGTCTTGGGTTTCTCAGTATGGAGCATTCTCCTGATGCATTTGCACAACTGAATTCTATAAGGTATTAATTTGTGAAATGCACAATGTTGTTAAAAGACAGTAGGGGAAAATGGCACCAAAAAATACCACCTATATATTAATTCTTCTTTGTGACATACCATATTTGACCAAATGATTTGGCATCAAAATTGTCTTTACAAAATAGTGACTAATTTCAGCCATTGTAGTGTACACAAGTTTGAATATGTAAACTGGCTGGGCTACATAGACAGATTGTGTCTCTAAAAATGGTTGTGGATTTGACTCATTGGTAGAATTCTAAGGTGGCTTATACAAGATCCAAGGCTGAATATCCAGCCCTGTAAAACATATAAACTGAAAATGATAGCTTTGAAAACCGGTAAGAGTAAAGCTAAGGAGATGCCTCGGCAGTTAAGAGTGCTTTGCTACAGCAGAAAACCAGAATTCAGTTCCTGTCACATGAGTGTTATAGCTCACAACCACCTATGACTCCAATTACAAGGGATCCAATATATATGTGAGCATGAATACATACATGAACATGGATATAAATAAAACTAATATTTTAAAATTTTTCTGAAAATAAAAAAACCTGGTCTGAGGAGGAAAATGGTGTAAAAAAGCTCTATCTACAACAGAACCCCTACACTCAAGGCTGAGAGGCCATCATGCCAGAAGGGGTAGGAGGATTGTAAGAACCAGAGGAAAAGGAAATGTGCTGTGAGATTATATCTCCTAGAATTGTGGTCAACGCTAAAACTAGATGTGTATGAATAACACTATACAGATTAATCATGTTGTGCTTTATATTTGGGAATAAAGGTCTGCGTGTGTAGTACCCAGAGATTATAGAAGATAAAGATGTATTTGAGAGAACAAAGTAGCTGTAACGACAGATTGAGAGCAGTAAAACAAAGAGAAATGGTATATATAAAATTTCTTTGAAAAAATACATTATTAAAAAGTTTAACTTTACTGGAAGACAAATGTCACACAATTTCAATTTTATGTGTAACCTAGAAATGATGAACTTATGGGAACAGAGAGCAGAATTGTGGCTATTAGTCTTCAATGTGGGTCTTTTAACAATGGGGAAATGATTGGTTTAAGGATATAAAACTGCAGTTGGACAAGAGGCATGGACTCTCTGAAGTCTTGAGGTCTACTGAGAGCATGATAAATATGGTTGATAACAATATGCTATATTTTAAAAGTTGTGAGATAGTATACTTTAAGGGTTCTCAAAACAAAAATGATGAATATGTGTGATATAACATGTTAATTGGTTTAATTTAGCCATGCCATTGTGAACATACTGTATTCTGTATCATAATTGTGCATGACTTTATTTATGAGCTAAATAAATGAATGGAAAGAAAAAATCTCAAATGTTTACAAATAAAATAAGTTTAACTTTAAAAGGTAGAGTAACACATTAGGAAACAGCCTTACAATGTAATAAAATACAGGAGAGAATGAATACTGCATATGCATATTACTTTTCCAGAGTGATGGGGTACGGCCTTCTGTATATACGTTTCTCCTATTGGTTGATGAATAAAACACTGTCTGGCCAATGAGGCAGGAAGAGAGGCAGGATTAGGATGAGGAGAATTCAGGGAAATGTAGTCATAGAGAGCCTGCAAAGAACAGATGCCATGTAGCCCGCCAAAGGAGTAACAGGTCCACCAATCTTAGGTAAGCCAAGACCACGTAAAAATACTTAAATTAACAGAAATGGATTAATAATTAAGACAGAGCTAGTCAATAAGAAGCCTAAACCATTGACAAACGGTTTTATACTTAATATAGCCATCTATGTGCTTCTTTGATGTTGAGAGGGGTGGAGGGAAAAGGCAGGACAAGAAAACTCCAGCCAATAGTATTCCTGTTTCAAATGTGCTCATTTCTTCGCAGTGACTTACAAGTTCTTGTTCTCTGACAGATTCTTCTACAAATACATCAGAATATTGATTTTTCTTGTCTAGGCTCAATGTCTTGTATTTATTATGTCCTACTGAATTAAAAATAAGTGCCATAAAGACAAGAAACAGCCTTGGGAAAAAACATAATTTCTGAAAATGCAGAAACAGCTTATCAAATTGTCCCTATCACACATTCTCAGATATTTCTACTTCAACCATTTAACTATGAAGTGAAACACACAAAATAATAAATGTATGTCTGGGGTTTGGGGTAAAGAATTATAAGTATACAGGGCTGGAGAGATCGCACAGTGGTTAAGAGTGTGTTCTTTATTGCAAAGGACCCAATGTTACTTCCCTCTGCCTACAACAGAGGCTCACAACTGTCTTTGTGACTACAGCTCCAGGGGGTACAATCAATGCCCACTTTTGGTCTTTCCATGACCCATACTCATGTAGACATGGACATATGCACACATAATTTAAAATGAAAAAAATTTAAGAATATGACCACTAGCTTCTTTTTATCCAGTTTTTATTTGAATTAGAAACAAGATTGTTTTCCATGTCAATCCCAGTTCCCTCTCCCTCCTCTCCTGCCCTGCCCCCCACCAACTAAAACCCTACCTATCTCACACCCTTTCTGCTCCCCAGGGAGGGTGAGGCCTTCCATGGGGTATCTTCAGAGTTTATCATAGTCTTTGGTATAGGGCCCACCCCCAGGTTTCTTGGCTCAGGGAGTATCCTTCTATGTGGAATAGGTTCCCAAAGGGTTCTTAAAACCAATTTCATTTAAAGGAAACACACCCTTGTTTAATTTCTTTGATTTTTTAAAAATAAAGTGGAATTTTATCATTTAAAAAAAACTTAGACAATTAATCAAGTAAGAAATTGAATAATTATACCCTGACACTGGATTATTACCAGCCTAATTATTTTGATTCATATATTAGGAATGCTGTTGTAACATAAATACACACTGGACGTGTTGCACAGAACACCAATATATGCGTTGATTCTCAGAAATAAAAAGCAACAATCTGCAAATATTTAGCACCATAATCAAATTTGAACATTTGGAATAAAATGTGTTGGGTCCAGGATTCAGCATGATGGTACTCATGGCTAATGCTGTCCCCGAAGAGCTGAAGCAAAAACAATTTCCAAGAAGCTTTGGTCCTCTAATGGCTTAATAAAAGAATGGACCCATTTGTTGCCTCCCGTGGAGAAACACACTTTAATCCAAGCATATGGGAAGCACTCTAAGGTAGACTGTTGTATTCAAAGCCAGCCTGGACTACCTATGCCGTGCTCTCTGGGATAGCCAAGGCTACAGTGAAATGCTACAGTGTGGGAAAGGGTCTATGAACATGGGGTGAGGGCGGTTGTGCTTTGATGCTCAGCTTTCTGTGCTGTGGTCAGGTAGGTGCTTCGAGCCACTCAAGACATCCTGTAAGTTTTACTCTGACTCTGCCTCTTGTCAGCTGAAGCAGCACCATGCTGTCCGTGCTCCTAAACCTCATGTGCACTGGTGAGTCCTGCTGGGAGTGAAGGGTATGGAATAACAAGGTGGATATATTGTCTAGGGTGGCTGGATTCGTCCACGGCAGAAACCCTAGCTTCCATGGTGGGCTTTGGGGCATGACTTCACCTTAACTTAAGTGATCTCTGATTCTACTGTACAGAGGACCTACAGGGACGGGGAGGTCAGATCACCAGGTTATTGGAAGAGGATAGGTCATCCATCATGAATTTTTCTTTCCAGGCTTCTTCCTCGTCCTGAGGATGTTGGCACAAGCAGGTGAGTCCATCCTTAAAACCTTGAGTTACTACCCTTCCCAATAGATAGGCTGCATTCTAGCAGGAGAGCAGACATTATGGGCGTTGGCTGGTGGTTTATGTGGTTGATTCATTGGTGAGTCTTCTGAACTGCCATGTTAAGAACCTGCAAACCTGCCTCTCCCTTCTCTCTCAGATACTCCCAGACACTACCCGTGCTGAGTTAGGCATCATCTTTGGTCAGATAAACATTATTGCGGTCTTTCAAGACAAGGTTGACTTGTGCAGCCCTAACTATCCTAGAACTCACTCTTTAGACCAGGCTGCCCATGGACTCAGATATTCACCGGCCTCTGCCACCCAAATGCTAAGATTCAAAGAGTGGGCCATAAAACCTGGAGGATAATCAATATTTTAAATAAAACATACTCCTCCCCTTTGCTATCGTCTGGCCTGACAAACCTCACATATTTTGAGATTTTGATAATATAATGTATGATTTTTTAAATCTGTTTGTCAATTGACAAACCACTGACATTGGTTTTTTTTTTGCCTTCAAACATCAGACCTCATTTGCTTGCCACCAGCACTCTACTGTAAGCTCTTATTTTGACTTGCATTTAGTGAACCACATTTCCTTTTTCTACACGAAGTTGTTTCATGTAACTCTAGCAACCTTCTCTTTCAGCTTGAAGTATGTGTCATTACCTGTGCTTACAGTGAACTCTCTCTGCTACTGTTTTTCTCAGAAATTCATTATCTCCATTTCTGATGGACAGTGTTGCTGACATTTATAGTCAGAGTTTTTTTTTTACCACTCACTTTATTGAATTCATCCTCCTGGTCTATTGTGTCCTGTAGATCTTTGCTCAGAAGTCTGCCATTAGCTGTACTGGAAGTCTCTTGTGATCTTTGCTTCTTTTATCATTCTGAATTCAGGAACTCTTACAATAATAACATACTCTGTGATCGTGACTACTTGGGTAGAATTCCTTTTGTGTCATTGACTTTCTTGCACCAGACCATGTTCATTTTATTACAAGTTCCATCAGTGTTATATACTTTCATTTCTAGGGGACATTTTGCTTTTTATTATCTCTCTCTTATTTCTGTCTTTTTGCTAATATTTTACTGATTCAGAATTTTATAGGATGTATTTTAATTATATTCATCCCCCTCCCTAAACTCATCCTAGTTTCACCCCCTCCTTTACAGACCCAAAGGAAACTCTATAATCCTTTACCCTTTCATGAATTTTTATGACTGATAATTTGGTACTGGGATGGTATCAAAACTCCTGTCACACTCCTTTATTGTATTTTCACACAGTTTCTGCATTTACCCATGAGATTATATAATGTCCCATCTAAGCTCAATCATTGTTCTATTGTATCAAGCATACTGTTGAAATATTCTATTAACATTTTGAAATTTTGCATTTATTTGAGGCACACCTGTGTGTACATACACACATATGCTTGTCTGTGAATGTGTGTGCCTGTATGTGAGAGAGATTGTATGGTCCCAGTGATGGAATCCAGAGAGTCAGGCAGGGCCACAAAAGCCTTTATCTAATTAGGCAGCAAGCTGACCCATACATTTCTCCAATTCAGTAGTTGTATTCTTTACTTAACAGGGATGCTGACAAAATTTTATGTAATTAAATGATTCATTTCCAAATTTATGACAGAGTTTCTTTTTATAGTTAGATCATTTCTTTCTCTTTGATAAAAGAACAATGCCTAAGATTCGTGTTTGGCCAATAATCAGGAGTCCAAATGCTTTTGATCTCCAAGTGACCCAAGTAGCAGAAAAATGCTATACTCTCAATGTTAGATATACAAGGAGCCTTGAAATGGTGGAGAAACTATTTGTCTGCCTATAACTTCTCACTCTTAGTATAGAAATGAACCAATATGGACTCTGTGAATGAAGCTCTGTACAAAAGTACATTTGGGACAGGGTCGTTCAAATGACTTGCTCCTCTTATTTGGTTGTCAATTTTCTTAGTTTTTGGTCTTATGCACTGGCTCACCCTCAGCCCTGAGCTCTGGGATATTCACAGTGTAATTCTGAGTATTTGGGGATTTCTAGAGTCAGTGAGTGTGACTCAAGAGCATTCCTGTTCTTCTACCTCAGTGGTCACTAGTCCCATCTGTCATGTCACAAATGAATATTTTCCTCTACTCATCTTATAGGATTCCTTTTTAGACTTCCATTTTTTTCATGACCAAATCTACTTTGTCACTTAATACTTACTCAAATTCTCAGCTAACACATCTTAGCATACAATGATAATACTATATGTATGTTACAGCTGGGGGACACCCATTATATGAAAATACTTGCTGCATTTCAGACTTTCTTTGGAAAGATACAACACATGCAAATCTGCTCTCTCCGTAAAGGAAACCCAGGACAGACCAAACAATGACGGCCTTAAAGTCTAAATAGGTGAATTTGTGAGTCTACTGAGTTTACTAGTAGCAGTATGGATGAGGAGCTATTTGCAGAAGCAACGGATGCCTCAAAAGCATTGCTGAAAGCAAACCTCAATGTGGTTGATTATCATGGAAGCCCCCTAGAGCCCTCTACACTGGTTTTAGGCAGCTAAACAGGTCTCAGCTATCTCCTCTTGGAATTCAGAAGGCCCAGTAGCTTACTGTTTCTATAGGGCAGGAATCTTGAGAGTTTCAACTTTCTAGTACTCATGTTTATCTACTGAGTGCCCTGAGCTTTTCAGCTTCTCACATTGAAACACGGAAGTTTCAATTCAGAGAAAATTGTTGTACTGACGCTACCTGAAGACCTGAAAATTGGAGGCTGTACTCTCAGGAATGAAGGGAATACATTAACTTTTTTCTGTTTGACTTTCTCCAGGAAGCCATGACAAGCCTTCCCTGTCTGCCCATCCAAGCCCTGTTGTTGTACTGGGGCAGCGTGTGGAACTACAATGTGACTCTCATAGTGAGTCTGACTTCTTCAAGCTGTACAAAGAACTCGGAGATCCTATTCCTGAGGTCCATGAAAGACCATTCGGGGACAAAACTCTCTTGGGCCCTGTTACACGAGCACATGGAGGAACCTACAGATGCTATAATTACAATCATCAGTACAGTAATGAACTCTCATCACACAGTGACCCTCTGAAAATCATAATCTCAGGTCAGAGATCATGTTTGGAGTGTCATTTCATACCCCCAAATCTCCTCACGTTAGAATTTTCAGAACAAATTTTAGTCCGAGTCTCAGCATTATAAAGCAATATTCAATACAGGGAATTGGACACTATTACAGGCATATCATAAGCCCAAGGACATGCACTTTCATTCCTAAGGCTTCATGAGTGTTAAGAAAGTGTTAAGGAATGGTAAGTCAAGGGGAAAAAAGACTTGAAGATGGAATTTGGGTATTAACAGCTTGACATCAGGATGAGAGAACATTCTGAATTATCCTGGAACGCATGAGGCCTCTAGAAGCTGAAAGGCAGAAAGCAATGGAAACTTCCCTAGGGATTTGCTAAGTAACATATCACTGCATATACCTGACTTATACTATTAGGCTTGTTTCAGGATACTGATGCCCACACACTAGTGATAATTTGTTATGGTACTGATTAGAAACTAATACAGGAATCCATGTCAAGGGCAAATTAAGAACCAGGGAAGGGATGCACAGAGAGCAGAAAAGTCAGGATGGTAATGAATCCTGTTGGCAGGAAACAGTGCTCATGTGCCAGATTGCAAATGCCTTACAAAACTTTGATTCATGGAGAAGGCCAGAAGGGTTTCAATGATATCTACCTTCACTCCTAATTCTTTGATCTTGCCATGGATTATATTTATTTCAATGCAGCATTAAAAAGACACATGAAGGAGCCTGGTATAAAGCTTGCCACATTTCCTACATTTCCAGAACTTAAAAGGGACAATAGTGACTATGGTAGACAGATTGAGCAGAAACATACTTACAACAAGTCAGTAAGAATATATTGTGCTGCTGCCAGAGCCAAATAAGTAGGTAATAGTCACAGAAAGATGGAGAAGTCTGTGTACACAGAAAAGGACACTGGGACACTGACAGGAAGAACAGGTTAATGGGGGGAAGCATAGGTTTTCTGGGATGCATAGATTGGAGTCATGTTCAACCTTGCTATCTCTTTATTTCCAGGAATCTACAAGAAACCTTTCCTCTTGGTCCCATATAGTAACTTGGTAAAATCAGGAGAGAAGGTAACCCTGGAGTGCCATTCAGAGATTATGTTTGACATCTTCATTTTGACTTCACACAGAAAGAGAATAATCAAGGAATCTTGCCAGCATTCAGCAGAATCCCATCTTGGGGGGTCCCGTGCCAAATTCTCAATGTGACCTGTCACCTGTGACCATGCTGGGTCTTACACATGTTAAGGTTCTTACAATCAGACACCATATGAATGGTCTGAATCCAGTGACCCTGTTGATATAAAGATCACAGGTAAGATGACATGTTATGGTTCTTACAATCAGACACCATATGAATGGTCTGAATCCAGTGACCCTGTTGATATAAAGATCACAGGTAAGATGGTGCTACCTGCTCATCATCCTGTCTGTGAGGCAGAGCAGTTATTCTATAGACTGGAAGTACTGGGAGGTCATGGGGCAGATGAGTTTGGGAAACAGAGAAAGGCCGCCTTCAGGAGTATGTTACTGACATAGACGGTGGAAATGGAGACACAAGGACAGACCAATGGTTATAATGTAAATCAGAGATACAGGGAGGTAGAGGAATCATAATTAGAGGTAAAGATAAAGGGGTGGCTTGATGAGCTTGATATGAATCAGAGACAATGATGTCCTTCTGCTAATTTTCATTGTCCATAACAGTTCAGAATTTTGTTTGCTTCTACCTCTACAAGACATCTTCCAGCGACATATACACTTCACGTGTCTGACCTGAGTTTATGTGCTGAGCGGGGCTGTTTCTTCATGAGGCCTTGGTGCAGTTGGCACCCACAGAATTCCTGTCTAGTTTGAATGTTCTTGCATTCTTGTAGTTGACCAATTATTTACGAAAGAACAGCATAACCCTGGGTCATAGAGTGGACCACCAATCACTGACTAGTCTCTACATTTCCAAACAGTCATTGGTCCATGTTCCAAAATTACTCAGACATTCTAGGATGGAAGAAAAAATCCTACAGTGGTTGGTTCCCCGTGGGATTGGCAGACAAAAATAATGCAGACGTGGAAAAAAAATACAGATAGTAAGTCAGACAGGGAGCCTTGGAGAAGGACTTAGATATAGAAAAAGCTGAGGAAATACTAAGCGTGGGATGTGTGCGAAGGGAAAACTTGCAAAAAGTCTTAAGCTTGAATGGAAGATTTGAAAGCAGAGATGGGGAAATAATGGCAAATATTGGACATTTGAAAGCAAAGATAGGGAGATAGATGGTAGATGACACTGGAGGAGCACACACACTAAGAGGAACAAGGGAGGTAAGATCGCCACGGCCCCTGTTCACGGGAAGCATACACATTTCATGGAACATTCTGTACTTTGAATAGAGACCTTCATTGGCATAGATATGCATAAAAACAGACAAGTTAGGAAACGAATGACTTAGAATGACGTAAGAGTCTACATTTTTAATATATATAAGATAAGGGAGTTATAAGTCATTGAATTGGAAGCTGATCATGAAGGGAAGGAGACTAACATTTAGGGGTGATGAAAGACGTGGAATACGTATGCCGTGAAAGAGAGAATGAGATTAGGAGTAAGGACCAGAAAAGGTAATACAATGGATTGGATTCACAAGCGTCCAGTGTGCTGCTCTGCACATCCTTTCCCTGGTTCTTAACTTGCCCTTGACATGGATTCCCGTGCAAGTTTCCAAAGATTACCATCAAAAACTACCATGAGCAAACTGACCTGAATGAGGATGTCTTAACGAAGTCCTTTACTTTGCATGCTAATTTAAAAAATAAGTATCTCCAACTAAACCCACCGATTGGCAACACATTGGGAGGAAATGAAAGTATAAAGAAGAAAAACTGGGAAAAGGAATGAAATCAGTGGAAGCTGATGGGCAAGAGAGAATAACAGCGTAACATGACCAAGGATGCACATATATGTGTAAAAACACTTAAAGAAAATGAGGCCGTAAAATGATGCAATTAGACTTTAATTCCAAAATGTTTTAGTGAGAACAACTATAAAAATATATTACATATACAAGTTTATGTTTCACAATGAATTCAACTGCTATGTAAATTGAATACGTTTTAATAAAAACAAACTTAAACAGGCGGGTGGGATGAAGCAAGGCATATAGAGCCAGAAAACTGTCAAAAAGCAAAAAGCGGGGTAAAATGTACGGTTACAGAATTGCAGTCAGAGACTCCAGTAAGATAAGAATGAAAGAGGGGGAGGGGAAGAGATAGGGAGCTAGAAGAAGGAGAGGAAAAGGTAGGGCAGAAAGAGAGAGATCACAGAAATGTAAGCAGGAAAAGAGAACACTGAGGAGTGAATGAAGACTGGTAAGGAACTGCCCCCTAAATGTCTCAGTCTCTTTTCCAGGTTTATACAAGAAACCTTCTCTGTCAGCCTTTATGGGCCCTGTGCTGATGTCAGGAGAGAACGTGACCTTGGTGTGCAGCTCTGACCATCCGTTTGACATGTTCCATTTGTCCGGGGATGGGGTGCCTCGGGGACATGGACTGCCTGCAGTGCAGAGTCACAATGGGACATTCCAGGCCACCTTCCCCCTATGTCCTGTGACACAGGCAGGGAACTATAGATGCTATGGCTCTTTCAGGAACTCTTCCCATGCGTGGTCATCCCCAAGTGACCCTTTGTGCCTTTCTGTCACAGGTAAGACAGCCTCATATATATCTCATGTCTTGTGACTAATTCAATTCTAAATCCAGCTCTAAGAACCATTCTACTGACGATAGAGAAAAAGTATCTTAGGCAGTTACAGAGAAGGGTTGCTAGGAGTAATTTTGTGGTGTGTGTGTGTGTGTGTGTGTGTGTGTGTGTGTGTGTGTGTGTGTGTGTGTGTGTGTGCCCTTAACAATATTACTCAATGAGGAAAGGTTACCTGGGCAGGGCTGGAAAGATGAAAGGGAGAGAGAAAGAGATAATTAAATTTCATTTAAGAACTTTTTTTTAAAGAAGACGTCGAGTTTGAGAATGTATGTCAGATTACAAAACAACAGACAAGGAGCCTCCCAAACAATCCTTATCTTGAAAGACCAGCCACTCTGGGATATGTATGCATCCAGGGAGAATAAGAAACATGTCAGGGGGCTGGAGAGATGGCTCAGAGGTTAAGAGCACTGACTGCTCTTCCAGAGGTTCTGAGCTCAATTCCCAGCAACCACATGGTGGCTCACAACCATCTGTAATGAGACCTGGTGCCCTCTTCTGGTGTGCAGATGTACATGGAAGCAGAGTGTTGTATACATAATAAATAAATAAATTTTTTTAAAAAAAAAGAAACAGGTCAGGACAGACACATTGGGTATAAGCTTGCAGTCCGTGTGGTCACATCAGAGAAGGAGCAGCCCTCCTGATCTCTCCCTCACATAGATCTCTCCACAGTATTCCTATTGGCTCATCACAACTAGAAATCGACACCTCAAAGGAAAACACCCAATGGCATCCTATGACTCCAAATGTGCATCATTAAGAGATAGAGTGGATGCTGCTAACTGTGCAAATTCAAAAGACTGTCCCTACAGGGAAGACAGATAGCTTTTGATGAACTTCCTCCCTCCCCTCCCCCCTTCTAGTAAACTCGTCAAGAAACTGCACGTCATGCACAGAAGCAGAGTCCAAAAATTGTGAGTAACTGATTCCTCTTCTCTATTGTGGAAACTTGGGGACAAAAACTCTTGGGTTCATTTTTTGGCTCAGGTCCCTCACAGCTCAGTTGCCTTAACATAATCATGTCTTCTCTTGGATTATCAAACTCTGAAACATCAGAAGATTTTTAGGAGAAGCATAGGAACTGTTCCTGAGACCAGTTCAGACAAGTGAAAAGGAGAGTAACTTTCACTCCCTTCCCAGGAAAAATGAGGTGCTCATTCTAGCTGGGCTCCCCCTGGAAAGGGAGTGATGGGGCATGAAAAAGAAAGCAAGCAAGCAGAAGAGAAGATTTTATAAAAAAAAAATATTACCTGTAATGGAATAGACTTGAGTTTATTTTCTCCCTTTGGGGGAATTTGTTGTTGGGCTCAAGGGTGTTTTAGATTTGGAAGTTGCTAAGCAGATGAACTGAGCAATGCTATCAAGCTCAGATTAAGACACTGATCATATGACCTGCAGTTTTCTGCCACTGGCAGGATGTCCATATATTCTTGGACATGTGGACTTCTACTTAAGCTGGTCAGCTCACTAGTGACAACAGTCCTAAAATTGATACTCATTCTCCCAACAGTTATCAAGTGCCGAAAGCCACTAGTGGTGGGAATTCATGTCCATCTCTATTCTCCACGCTGGGAATTTGCCTAGCTTGATCTTGTACTGTTTGAAGGTCCTTTGACCTTCAGCATGCTATCACAACCTCTTATAAATTTCACATACTCAACTGCCCTTGGTGTACAGAACATGGTTTCCGTGTATTTATCCATAGCTCATTTTTGCAATCTCTTCCATCTCTTTCACAATGATGCTGAACATTTGCAGAAAATTGAGACGTAATCATCTCATTCAGGATCAAGAATTCTATAGTCCCTTATTCCCCAAAACTTACCCCATTGTGGGCATCTGTATTAATTAGTCACCGTCTATCACATATATAAACTCCTCTGCTTAGAGTTGAGAAATGCATTAACATATGGATATAACCATAAGTCATGAGGGGCCACTATTTCCACTGAGCAGAATATTATTAATAGGTTCTCCATATAGACTCTTGTTTAAAGAAATACTATATCAATTACGCTATAATCAATAAATATTATACAATCTATCAAAATGAGGGTCCTAAGATTTACCTCTTCTGGGTTCCCATCTTCCTCCAGATAACCACAGGAACCTGCATATTCTGATTGGGCTTTCAGTAACCATGGTCCTTGTGCTCCTCATCGTCCTCCTTTACTCTTGTTGCTATGCCAAAAAGAGTAAGTCTCGGG